CAATAAAAGAACTTCAATGAAATTGATAAAACTCTAGTAAGAGATCAATTAGAATGTCTAACTAGTTCAATAAAGCAGTAAAAAGAGGGCTGGGGACACAGCTCAGTTGGTAGAGTACTTGCCTCACATGCACAAGGCCCTGTGTTCAATCCCCAGCACCACATACACACACACACAAGTGTGTGCACAAAAAAAAAAAAGTATCCAGTTGGAAAGAAAAAACAAAACTATGTTTATTAGAAAACATAATTATCTATATATGAAGTCCTATGGAATCTTCAAAAAAGGAGCTCCTAGAACTAATAAGAGAATTTTGCAAGGTTACAAGATAAAAGAGAAATATACAAAATACATACATAAATGTATTTTTATATACTAACAATAATTAACCAGAAATTGAAATTAAAAAAAGAAAACATTTTAAATTACATGAAATGAGGAAAGGGAGAGATGAGGAGAGGTTGGTAATTGGATACTAAGTTACAGTTAGATAGAAGTAAACTCTAGTCTTCACAGCACAGGAAACACTCAAGAATCTGATGAGAGAGCCTACAGAATGGGAGAAAATCTTTGTCACCTGCACCTCAGATATAACATTAATCTCCAGGATATATCGAGAACTCAAAAACTCAATGCTAAAAAACCATACAACCCAATCAATTAATGGGCTAAGCAGCTGAACAGACACTTCTCAGAAAAAGCAATACAATCAATCAACGCATGTATGAAAAAATGCTCAACATCTCTAGAAATTAGAGAAATGCAAATTAAAAATACACTGTGATTTCACCTTTCTCCAGACAGAATGGCAATTATCAAGAATACAAGTAGCAATATATGTTAGCAAAGATGTGGGGGGAAAGGTGCACTCATATATTTCTGATGGGACTGCAAATTGGTGCAACCACTCTGGAAAGCATTATGGAGATTCCTCAGAAAACTTGAAATGGAACCACCATTTGACCCAGTTATCCCACTCCTTAGTATATAACTAAAGAACTTAAAATTAGCATACTATAGTGATGCAGCCACATCAATGTTTATAGCAGCTCAATTCACAATAGTTAAAAAATGGAACCAACCTAGGTGGCCTTCAACAGATGAATGGATAAAGAAAATGTTGTACATATACACAATGGAATAGTACTCAGCCATCAAAAAGAATGAGATTATGGCTTTTGCCAGTAAATGGATAGAACTAGAGACTCTCATGCTAAGTGAAATAAGCCAATTCCCCAAAACGTTCTGTTTTATATGTGGATGCTAATTCACAATAAGCAGGGGGTGGTAAGAATAGAAGTTCACTGGATTAGATAAAGGGGAATGAAAGGAAGGGAGGAGGCTAGAAATGAGAAAGACAGTGGAATGAATCAGACATAACTTTCCTGTGTGCATATGTGAACACATGAGTGTGTAACTCCACAACATGTACAACCATAAGAATGGGAAATTATACTCCATGTATGTATAATATGCTGAAATACATTTATTGTCATATATTACTAAAAAGAACAAAAATGAGAGAGAGAGAAGTAAGAAGTTATTCTATTGCACAGTGAGTTGATTATGGATATTTACAATATATTATATATTTCAAAAAGCCAGAAGAAAGGAGTTTAAGTGTTATCATCATGAAGAAATGATAATTCGAGGAGATAGATGTGTTTAACCTGATTTATACATCACATAGCAACCATAAACATATAACTTTTATATTTTTGTGTATCAAAAATAAATATAAAAATAAAATAAAGTATTACATGAAAAATACAATAATTTGAGGTAGATTTAAAAAAATGTAATGTTGGGATGCCTGAAGTCCTTAGAACATTGTTAAGAGAAACTTAAAAGACTTTAAAACATGGTGGAGGGGCTGGGGATGTGGCTCAAGCGGTAGCGCGCTCGCCTGGCATGCGTGCGGCCCGGTTCGATCCTCAGCACCACATACAAACAAAGATGTTGTGTCTGCTGAGAACTAAAAAAAAAAAAAACAAAAAAAAAAACATGGTGGAAAATATACTATGTTGTTGATAGATCAAAACACCCAATTTTTTTTTTTTTTAGGGTTTGTTTTTAATTCTGAGAATTTGCTCAAAAGCACAGAACAATGAACATTTTGGTTTACAAACAAAATACTTGGGCCTAATAGTTAAAATATCCCTCACAAAAATGTCAGTGCTGGGCTTAAGTAGAGCATAAGATAAGCATTCAATTTCATAACAGAATTAAATCTGTCACCTTTGAAATAGATACCGTTCTAGTCAGCTTTTTCATTTTTTAATTTTTTTAATTGTAGATGGACACAATATCTTTATTTATCTATTTTTATGTGGTGCTGAGGATTGAACCCCGTACCCCATGCGTGGGAGGTAGGCTCCCCACCACTGAGCTACAGCCCCAGCCCCAGTCAGCTTTTTCATTGCTGTGACCAAAAGACGTAACAAGAACAATTTCAGAGGAGGAAAAATTTATTTTAGGGCTCACGGTTTCAGAGGTCTCTGTCAACAGGTGGCCAACTCCATTCCTCAGGGCCTGAGGTGAGGCAGAACACCGAGGGAGAAGTGTGGCAAAGGAAAGCAGCTGGAACCTGTCACCAGGAAGCAGAGAGAGACTCCCCTCACTGTTGAGGGCCACAGCTGAGTCAGGATGAGCATGGCATATTGCCAGAAGGGAGTGGTTGAGAGGTGACTCCAGGGAGCCATTGAGATGATGATGGTTATGTTAATTCAATTGTATATTTGACCTTTACTGTCCCGCAAGAGGGTGGCTCTTGCTGCCTGGGGCGCCCACTACTTTGGAGTTCCCCTGGAGTTCTCCAGGGTTCAGAGGGAGAGTGCGCAAGGACCCTGGTGGAGGGGAGAGTGTTCCAGGGGAGCATGTGTGGAGTGCTGGTGGAGTTCGGCAATAAAGAGCTGCTGTTTTGAACCTACAAGTGCTTCGTGGTGGCTCAGTTATTTGTGCCCAGCCAGACTGCGGCACCTCACTACAAGCAAAATGTAGAAACCAAAGGCACACCCCCATGACCCACCTCCTCTAGCCACCCTCTAACTGCCTTCAGTCACCACCTAGTTAATCCCTCTCAGGGGATTAATTCACTGATAATCCAATCATTTCACCTCTAATCCTTCTTGCATTATTTTACACATGAGCTTCTGAGGGACACTTAATATATAAACCATAATGATTCTAATAAACAGTTTATGAAAGTAGTATTTTTTTATAAGGGTAAAAAATCAAGTTCACCAGCACCGTAGATTAATAGCAGCATTTTCAAAGCTAGGATTAAATCAGTGTAAAGGTACACCAGCTCACACAGTAGAAATGCACTTTTTGGTTGAATCCTCTACACCTAGGTCTGAAAAGGGAATCCTGATGATTTTAAAAGGAATCATAAGTTCTAGGTCTTGGGCAGGAAAAGCTTAAATACTGTCCAAAAGCGATCGATGTGTTTAAGCAGGATGGAGTTCTTTCTGTGATGTGCCAGCTAATAACATTTCCAGACCAACCCCAGAGCCTTCCAGGCCCAAGGGTGATATGGTAAGAGGCCTACCTGATGCAACCCTGAGTGCGGAGCTGGGTGCAGAAGAGTAGTGATGAACTTGGGTTCCCCAGAGTAGATGCTGCTTTGCAACCAGGGAATTCTTTTGGGGAGTGGGGTGGGGTGGGGTGGGGGTACTAGAGATTGAACTCAGGGGCACTTGACCACTAAGCCACATTCCCAGACCTATTTTTTATTTCATTTAGAGACAGAGTCTCACTGAGTTTCTTAGCACCTTGCTTTTGCTGAGACTGGCGGCACCAGGGAAGCAGGGAATTCTTTCCTTTCTTTCTTTCTTTCTTTCCTTATTTATTTATTTTGGTAGTTGTAGATGGACAGAAGGCTTTTATTTTATTCGTGTATTTTTATGTGGCGCTAAGGATCAACCCCAGTGCCTCACACATGCTAGGCAAGCGCTCTGCCTCTGAGCTCCAGCTCCAGCCTGCAACCAGGGAATTCTAAATCAACTGCATAATGAAAGACACGTGGGATTCTTAAATCTGCTGTGACTGAATGGCTCTTAAGTATCTCTGTGTTAAGCTTTCCTCTTATTACTATTTCAATCATTAATGATTAGTCCTTTCCAGTGTGGTTCTTAGAGATACGGGGTTGCGTGTGTTTGTTTGTTTGTTTGTTTGTTTTTGTTTTGTTTGTTTTTCTTGTGAATACTCCATCTTTACATCGGAGTTTTAGTCCTTTTAACAAGTACAGCCAGACATAAAAAGAAACACCAAGGAGCAGACTCAGTAGCCAATTATTTGCATTATAATGTTAAAAAAAAAAATCATCGCCAGTAGAAGTCTTTTTTTAAAAAAAAAAAAATCTGTTAGCTTTTACCAACTGTCCAGATCAAAGGTCATTTTGAAGTTAAAAAAAAAAAATCTGATTCCAACTTTTCCACTGAGCCATGTGCAACACAACTTATTCTGTTCCCCAGAACTTGCTTTCCTGACTGTCATTGGTACTGAATGGGCTTGTAGACACAAAGTGCCATAAGGATGATGGTCCCCATCACCACTCCTCTCCTAGAATCTCCAATCCTCCAACTGCTTCCACAGTATTCAGGTCTGCAACACTTAATATTATTAAGATCTTAATTCTCCCAAAATTAATTTACAGATTTAATGTAATCTAAGTCAAAATCCTTGCAGATCTTTTTCATAGAAACTGACAAAAGCATGATCCATAGAATAATGGATAAGTAGGATTTTTTTTAAAGAGAGAGAGAGAATTTTTTAATACTTATTTTTTTTAGTTTTCAGCGGACATAACATCTTTGTTTGTATGTAGTGCTGAGGCTTGAACCCGGGCCGCACGTATGCCAGGCAAGCGCGCTACCGCTTGAGCCACATCCCCAGCCCAAGTGGGATTTTTTTGAAATTAATAAATTGCATTCTTTGAAAGACCCTGTTACAAGATACACCACGCTTTGCCTGCCTGTGATCTGCCTTTCCCTTCACAGATGCTGCATGATCCTGCTTGGCCTGTATTCTGACAGCTGCCCAGTTCAGTTGGAGCCCCTGCTCCAGAGGCCGGTGTTACCCATGGAAATGGTTAGTGGAATTGTGATTTTTTTACTGCCTTTTAAACACTGGCTGCAAATATGCTAAACTATCTGAACCAGTTCAGAAAAAAAGTAAATGGAAGCTGTTGACTAGCAGTTAAGGTCCAGAAAGCTTTTGGGAAAAGATGTGCCTTCTTTAAATGAGCAAATGTGCTTAGTTAGGTCCATTTCTTGTAACATTCTAGTACTGTGACTACTACCATCTTATTCTGAACAAGCATTCTCTTCACGTCATGGAGCTACACAGAAGAGACAAAACATTGCATCACTGTATGCCATGGGTGTCAGGCCTTCCACCTGAAGACTTGAGATGTTCTGTTGAGGTGTTCCTACTCTACATTAACAGGGTGTTTCATTTTCAGAAAGCTCACCTTGTTATCAGTTGCTCTTGGATTGGTCTCTAAAACAGGAGATAAGAAATAAATGGATATGCACATAACTAAAATAACACTTTTTCAAGGTTCTCCCTGATGACATGGGGTTGGGTGGTTATAGCTCAAATAGCATTTCATAAAGAGTCCAATATTGGACACATGAACACGCTTGGATATTTCCATCCTCAACCATGCAGCTCCAGTTCTTCTGTTGTCAGAGTGTTAGTTGGCTACAGACTAGAAATGGAACATCAGAAACATGGCAATAGCCGTGTGTGTGTGTGTGTGTGTGTGTGTGTGTTGTGAATAAGTGTTATGCATTCCAGATAAAATTAACACAAGCATAACCAAGTGGGAGGGAAGAATTACTCTTTTATTTTTTAATTTTTTAAAGAAATTTTGTTTTAGTTGTAGATGGACACAATGCCTTTATTTTATTTATTTATTTTTTTATGCGGTGCTAAAGATCAAACCCAGTGCCTGACACATGCTAGGTGAGCACTCTACCACTGAACCACATCCCAGCCCAAGAATTACTCTTTTATTTAAGATATACTTAGTTTGAGGGAGCTAGTTCTTCTAGAGCAGATTCCCAATTGGGAGTTGGGAATATGGGACCTAAACTCAGGGAAGAGAAAAAAGTGGGAGATAACCTAGATAACTAGTCAGCTGTCTAGTACCTAGTGATCAGGGAAGCCATAATTAAAGGAGATGTTCTAGGGGACAAAGATACAGAATGAGAAGAACAGGAAGCTCAGAACTACATCTTGCCATATTTGTAAGAGCGAGAGATTAGAAACAAATACCTATCAATAAGGTAAATGCCCCCAAATTATGGTACATTAGCCTGGATTACGGTCAAGGCCCCATCTCTGCTCTGGGCCAGCCTGTTAATTAAGGGAATACTGGAAACACAGGAGCCATGGGGGATAAAGAAAAGACAAACCGACATGCACAGAGGAAGAGCTGGGGCGGAGTGGGAAAACCAAGCCCTGGTGAAGCTTGACTGACTCTGAGCAAGCTCAGCAAGTTTATTTTTATTTATTTATTTATCTATTTTGGGGGGTGGGGGTGGTGGTACCAGGAATTGAATTCAGGGGCACTCAACCACTGAGCCACATCCCAGCCCAATTTTGTATTTTATTTAGAGACAGGGTCTCACTGAGTTGCGTATTACCTTGGTTTTTGCTGAAGCTGGCTTTGAACTTGTGATCCTCCTGCCTCAGCCTCCTGAATAACTGGGATTACAGGCATGCCCCATGCAGCCTGGCACAGTAAGTTTATTATATACGTTTCATCAAAAGGTTATTTGTGGGAAAGTTTCAGCAAAGCAGGCAATCTGAAGGACCACTGGCGAAATATTAGGGTGATCTTGTCTTGCTCAGAATTCACTATCTCTGGGAAAAGGTGCTGAACTCAAGGTCCCGACTGATAAAGCCTGCGCCTTTGCGTGTAGCCACCCCTGGCCAGCGTTACCATAGCAACTGGGCATCTCGACTTATGTCTTTGCCCAGGTAACTGCCAGCGCAAATGCAGCCACAAGAGAGTCAGAGGCCATGATTTGATTCGGTGGTGCCTGCCTGTAATCCCAGCAGCTCCGGAGGCTGAGGCAGGAGGGTCGAGAGTTCAAAGCCAGCCTCAGCAAAAAGCAAGGTACTGAGTAACTCAGTGAGATTTAAATAAAATACAAAATAGGGCAGGGGATGTGGTTCAGTGGTAGAGTGCCCAAGTTCAATTCCTGGTACCAAAATAAAATAAAAACTAAAAACAAAACAAAACAACAACAAAAATCACTGCTCTTCACAGATTACAATGTAGCAGAAAGAATAAAGAGGTTCTTTCTGTATTTATCCAGATTTTTTGTTACACTGTTATTTGAGAAAAGCAGAATGCTTGAAAGATGTACTGCATAGCACTATGTAAAAAAAAAAGGAAGAAAAGGTTATGGGTATTATCTATAGTTATGTGCCACATAATGATGTTTTTGATCAACAACACATCACATGCACAACATTGATCCCAAAGATTATAATGGTTAAAAATTTCCCATTGATGAGTATTTTTATTACCCTTTCTATGTTTATATAAGCTTGGATATGTAAATCCTAACCATTATGTTACAGTTGCATGCAGTACTCAAAACAGTGACATGCAATATAAGTTTTTAGCCTGGGAACAACAGACTACACTATATAGCCTAGGTATGCTGTAGGCTACACCACCTAGGTTTGTGCAAGTATACCCTATAATATTTGCACAAAGATGAAATCACCTAATTGTGCATTTCTCCGAATTTATTCTGTCAGTGACATATGTGAGTGTTGAGGTGCTCCTACTCTGTATTAACAGGTATTTCTGTTACACACACACACACACACACACATACAATATACAGGCACATGCAAGTATAAAATATGTTGGCATACACATGCATATGTATAAGATGTTTCTGTAAGGAACACGTAGTATTACATGGATGAAGAAGATTTTTCATAGATTTTTTTTTGTACTTTTGAGGATTTTTTTTTTTTGAGTACTGGAGATTGAACTCATAGGTGCTCTACCTCTGAGCTACATCCCAAGATCAAAGCACCAACAGATTCAGTGTCTAGTGAGGGCCTCTTTTCTGATTCATAAATGGCACCTTCTAGCTGTGTCCTCAGATGGTGGGAAAAGTAAACAGCTCTCTCATTTTTTTTTAATGTTGCCAATTCCATTCATGAAGTCTCTGCCACCATAACTTAATCACTTCCTACAGCCTCCACCTTCAATACTGTCACAATGGTGATTAAGTTTCAGCATATGGATTTGGGAGAGACACATTTAGACATAGCACTTCTGCTCAGAAATGAGGGGATCCCAAGATCCACCAGCACTGAGTAAGGAATAGGGAGACATGTGTAATGAAGTTCCCCAGAAGAAAGTATTAGGGAGAGGGGACAGGGGTACTTTTGTTGAGCTATGACTGCTGTAGAAAGGTCAAGCATGGGGAAGTCAGAGGGAAAGGTCATGTTGAAGAGGTGGAGGTGAAGAAGAGAGAAGCCATGCTCCTAAAGACCTTATCTAAAAGGGAGAAGACCTACTACTTTTTTCATAGAGGAGAGAAAAGTCTGCAAGCAAAGACTTTTGCCTGGTAGTGTTCAATGCCTGCTTCCACCCTTACAGTGGAGTTTCTAAAAGGCAGACTATGCCTACCCACAATTGTCTCCTCAGCATAATACCATTTCTGGCACTCACCAGCATCTTCCTACTCCCCTTCCCACAGTAGCCAGAAAAGTGCTGGACCATTTTACAACCCTGAAACACCTATTGGTGTTTTCTTGTGAAAGTTACGATTTTTATGTAAAAGTGTATTGCTACCTCCTTCACATTAGTTTTGCTATATATGTACTATAACCTGAGAACATCCTTTTATTATAATTTAAACATTCTAGTAAACGTCCAAGCTCTTAGTACAATTGTTAGAGTTTGCATGTTACTTAAAATTCATATCACATAGCATTTTTATGTGCATTTTCCACAAATATATTACTATGGAGATTTTTAGTACTGTGGCAATAAAAATATTTCCAAAGTTTCAGTTTCTGTAATCTGTATTCATAAATAATGAATTGTCAACTTAGAAAGCTTAAAAATAACTGAAATATAGTGTGTCATACACTATTCTAAATGCATACATATTTGACTCATATCTGTTAAGCTGTCTTCAAATGATACTATCCGTATTTTATAAACTGAGCAACTGAGGCTCAGAAGGGCTTTGTGTCTTGCTCAAAATCCTATACCAGGTAAAAGAGAAAGAGCTGGAATTTGAATCCAGGTAATGTGCCTCCAGAGTCTACTCTCTGAACCATAATGATGCTGACTTTGAACTTAAAGGGCTGTATGTCTTGCAGACGATGCATGAATACAGGTAACTTCAGGAGGCCTTGAATGCTAAAATTATAATGGCTTTGTTTCATCAGTATAAAACAAGGACATATGTTAGAGTCTGTAAACAAGTCAAAAATAACACCTGGCATTTTGCCAGGGGAATGTTAGAGTTCGTAAACAAGTCTGGATGGTGCCTGGCAAAATGCCAGAGGGAGTGGTTTGAGAAGTAACAAAAGTGAGCCATTAAATGTGGAGATTCCTTATTGGTTGACTGATGTATCTAGTTTATGCTAATTAGATAAGCTCTGTGGAATGTATAAATACTGCTCCTGTCCTGCAATAAACGGCTCCCACTCCTGCTGTATCAACGTACACAAGTTATTCGTCACCCCCCGGTTATTTTGCTGCAGCCAGCCGGACTGCGGCAGATGGTGGCCCGTACGGGGAACCCCGGGACACTCGGGGGTAAGTGATGAAAAAAAAAGCTGCCCGTCCATAGATAGGACAGGAGCAAATCTGCTCGTCCCTAGGCAGATAGGGCGAGAGGAAAAATGGCCATTTCGAGAAAATGGAGAAGATTGATACAGTATGTTTGTGTCTTGTTTTGTCTTAAAATGTTGTATTGTCTTTGTGATGAAAATATGGAAGGGGTGTTAAGTAAATTACTAAGGGAAGAAGGCACCCCAATGGAACCAAGAATAGTTAGGGCATGTGTTGATAGAAGCCCAGGAACTCTAGTCAGAAAGAAACAGAAAGTTCAGAAGAAGAAAGATTATCAGAGGAGGAAGGATTATCAGGAAAAAAGTTGCAGCAAAAGGCTATTACTGAATACTTTTCGTTACCGGAGGGTGCGTGAATCGGAGCCGCGGCTGCCACATGTGCGAGCTGGTCATGGCACAGCAAGGGCTTTCCAAACGGCGGCAGCCGGCTCTTCCACTGCTGAGAGCCCAAATCTAGACCTGACTTGGAGGCACAGTCTCGCAGGCTCTTGCTCCCTGTGCCCAGTAGCAGTTTGAATCCGGGACACTCCCCAGGGCCATCTGGGGCTGCCCAGGACACTACAGCCGGCAAAAGAGGCTACTGGTGTCCCTGATGTTTGGTCATTTTCAATGCCAATAACTAAACTACAATGGTTCTCCCACACCTGGAAGCTAATGAGTAATGAGCACTATTAATGCTTATTTCAAATGCAAAAAATCCTTGAGATAATGTACTAAATTGTTCAGAAGGTTGTTTTCTTAGTGGAATGCTACAGGATTTTCTTTAGCATCTTTGCAAGAGTTCCTGCCTTCGTCCCAGTGCCGGTGAGGACTGAGGACGAGGATGGAAAATTTCCAGTGTTGCTGAAAACCGGATGAAACTTCGGCTGAAAAACGGACGAGACTTCGGATCTGTTGCTGTTTCTGCTGCTACAACTTAAGCTAGCTGCCTGCAGAACTTACCTGGACTGTGATTTAAGCTAGATGCCTGCAGAACTTACCTGGACTGTGATTTAAGCTAGCTGCCTGCAGAACTTACCTGGACTGTGAGTTAATCTATTGAGACACTGCTTTACCTGGACTGAGACAACAAACTATAATCTACAACAAATTGTAACTCGGTATCTTTGCTAACAGTGTCATTGCTGGTATAATTTTTCCAAGGGCTTCTTGCATGGAGCCATCAATTGGCTTGGTATTGTGGCATTTTGTATCCTCCCTTTCTGTTTGTAGCAGGTTATTTATGGTGTTTCTGTAAAAACCACTATGGTCGTTATTTAAATTAAACAAAAGGGGGAAATGTTAGAGTCTGTAAACAAGTCAAAAATAACACCTGGCATTTTGCCAGGGGAATGTTAGAGTTCGTAAACAAGTCTGGATGGTGCCTGGCAAAATGCCAGAGGGAGTGGTTTGAGAAGTAACAAAAGCGAGCCATTAAGTGTGGAGATTCCTTATTGGTTGACTGATGTATCTAGTTTATGCTAATTAGATAAGCTCTGTGGAATGTATAAATACTGCTCCTGTCCTGCAATAAACGGCTCCCACTCCTGCTGTATCAACGTACACAAGTTATTCGTCACCCCCCCCCCCCCCCCCCCCCGTTATTTTGCTGCAGCCAGCCGGACTGCGGCAGACATAAAATGTAATAGGGCTTGCAAACATGTGTGTAATATATATTAGTGCAAGTAAAAGACACAGAGTTGTATAAAGGAAAGCCCAATGACCTTCCCATCAGATCTCACTCTACCCAACTCCTCTGAGGTAACCCATGTTGACACCATGAAATGTTTCCTTCTCCCTTTTTTAAGAAAAATATTTATTTTTTAGTTGTAGTTGGACACAATACCTTTATTTTATTTATTTTTATGTGGTGCTGAGGATCGAACCCAGGGCCTTGTACGTGCCAGGCAAGTGCTCTACCACTGAGCCACAACTCCAACTCCGGAATGTTTCCTTTTGCAACATTCTTTGTGTTTCTACAAATATATATACATGTATACCCGTTTTCCTTCTTGCTTCTTCTTTTGCTTCTCCTCCTTCTTTTCACAAAATGAGATTGTGCAATACACATGTCCTTGCTTTTTTCTACTCCTTTGAAACAGGGAAGCACACTTCATCTAGGTATTGTAACCAATTTCTTTCTGAGAAGTGGAAATTTCCTCTTCTGGTATCAGGGAAAGACCTTTAGGAAAAAATGAACCCTGCCCACCAAATGGCCTGACTGAGTGAGGGCTGAGATGACCATTTGGCCATTGTGGGGACACTGTACTGCACAGAACAAGGGACATCACTCTAATACTGTGAAACCTACTGGAATTGTGCCTTTGATACATCGTTTCCCCTATAATTGTTAATAGGAAATCCCACAAAGCAAAGGCACTTGTGTATCTGTCCTTTGAGGCACAGGTCCTTGTGCTGCAGTGTGGGTCACGCATTCATGAAGCCAGTCCTGTTGGTGGTGTCCAATAGTGGGGTAGAAAAGAAACATTCGTTGGCTTGCCATTTTGCCAAATGATAATACTCATCATTTTGACTGATGACTGATCTTTTTTTTTTTCTGGTTTGCTTTAGTATATTGAACATCTTTCTAAAATAAACTATGAGAAAGCCATTCTAATTCAATGGAAGAGATGCTGAAGGATTCAAGATTTTTTTTTTTTTTTTTTTTAGAGAAGGAAAAGTTTATTTTGGCTTATGATTTAAGAGGTTCAGACCATGGTCAGCGGGCTCCATTGCTCTGGGCTTAAGGTAAGGTAGACCATCACAGCAGAAGGGCATGGTGGAGGAAAATTCCTCAGCTCAAGGCCCAGGGTGACCAGGAAACAGAGAGAGAGGGAGGAGCCAGGGACAAAAATGTATAATCCTCAAACCACATCCCTAGTAACCTACCTCCTCTAGCCACACCACACCTGCTAACCAGTAACTGAAGTTACCCAGTAAAGAAGTACTTTCAAATTAGTAATCCATCAAATGAATTAACCCACGGATTATGTTACATTCTTATAATCTAATCATTTCAACTCCTGTATTAACATATGAGTTTGGGGGATAGCTCATCCAAACCACAACATTCCACCTCTGGGTTCCCAAAACTCATGTCCATTTCATAATGCAAAATGCATGTTGTCCATTTTCAAGAGTCCCCATAGTCTTAACAGCTCCAGTTTTGCCCAAATGTCCAAGTCCAAAGTCTCATCTGAGGCTCAAGGCAAACTTTTGATTATGAGCCCCTGTAAAGATCAAAGGCAAGTTGCATATATCTAATATATATTGGCACACAGTAAGCATTCCTATTCCAAAAGGAAGAAATGGGGGCATAGAAAAAAGTGATGGGCCCAACACAAGACCAAAATCCAGCTAGGAAAACAAGTCCTGTAGCTCCAAGTTCTGTATTCAGTGCGCATAAGGGCAAAATATGATCTTCAAAGAGCTTGTGCAGCTCCACCCCTATGGCCTTGCCAGTTGCAGTCCAAATGGTCTTTCTCTTAAGCTGGCTCTGTCCACAGCCAGCCTCTTTACCCAGCAGATGTTCCATGATGTTGGCATTTCTTAATCCAGAATGTCTGCAGTGCATCTTTGGCTTCCTTCTCAGCCTCGAGCATTGATCTTTCAGGGGCTGCCTGCAGGGATTCTGACCTGCTGCACTTTCCCTGGCCTCCCAGGCCTTTCTCTGAAATTTCAGTGTAAACTTCCGGTATCCCTTAATTCCAGCGTCCTGCATCCATGCAGAACTAGCACCATGTGAATGATGCTGAGATCTGAAGTCAGCTCAAGCTGTAGCCTGGCCCCCTTAGACCATTACTGCAGTGACCTCTGAATGCCTGGACAATCAAACACAGTGAAATGAATCCTGGGGAAACTTCTTTCTAGGCAACCCTATGCAAGCCTAGGTCCAAGGTCTCTCAAACAAGTTTTCACTTCTGCACCCTTGAGCCTGCAATGGGTGTGGATTTGCTGACTCCTGAGATGCCCTCAGGGTATCTTTCCTTTGTCTCAGCAAAGTACTTAACTTCTCTTTATTGATGACCATCTTTACAGTAAATTCCTTGGCCCCAATTTTACCTGTGCTTCTTTGACCAGCAAAGTTTTCCAAATCTCTCTGCTTCCAATTTTCACACAGTAAACCTAGCTAAAATCTGCCAGCAACACCCAGGCCATCCAGTCCTGAATGCTGTGTTTCCTTGAAATTTCTTCCACTAGATTATTAGTCCATTACCTTTAAATTCACCTTCACAGAAAATGTCAGGACATGGGCAAAATGTAGACAACTTCTTTGCTGGAAGGTAACATGAATATTCTCTAGTCTGATTCCCAATAGAGCCCCCATTCCCCTCTGAAAACTCATGAGTACAGTCTTTACTGGCCACATTTCTAACAGCATTCTGGTCTTCTGAGCTCCCACCAGAATTGCCCATTAAGCTCTGCTCACAACATTCTATGGCTTCTCCAGCCCATATCTGTAGGAACAACGGAAAAGCTCCGCCGAAACAATCGTTTACCTGGCCGAGATTTTATTAGCAGGAAGTGGAGGCCAGTCGTAGAGGCCAGTCGCAGAAGAGAAGGGGGTGGAGAGGGAGAGGGAGAGGGAGGGAGGGAGAGAGAGAGGGAGGGAGGGAGAGAGAGAGAGGGTGAGGGGGAGAGAGCAGGATTCAAGATTAACATCCATTATTAGCAATGTAAAACGGAGGGAAAGATCCATGAATTGTGCTCATAGAATTCTGCCTCCATGAGAGATGGAAGGGTCAAGCCGAAAGCCATCAGTGGGAAAGATGAAGAAAGATGGGCTCTCAGAGCAGGGGTTTCTGGCTAGAAGCTGTTCCTTGCTCACTGTGTCAATTTTTTTCTCCCAGCCTCCTCAGGCTGATTCTCTAGGCTAAGATGGTGTTTGCTGAGAAAGAAAAGTGGCGGGCTGAACCCAGGGGTAGTGCTGAAAAGCTTCCCAAGTTATGCTTGCCTCAGGCTTCTCTAGGGAGGATGGACAGAAGGAAGAGAGGTGCTGGTACTAAGCGAGGCTCCGTGCAGGGCTCTGGAAAGTTCAGAGGAGCTGGAGGCCCAGGTGGCAGGACACACCTGGATAGCAATGAGAGAGTCTGCAATGCTCATACAAGGGACAGCAGTCCAAACCCTATCATGCATAAGCAGATGGAGTTGACAAAGACTTGCCCTAACCTGTCTCTCATGTGGGACTGACCTAGCCCTATTAAGCCCTTGGTAGGCAGCCTGGGAGAGCAGGGGTCAGGGTAGCCCAGTGTTGGACAGGACACCATGGGAGACAGACCCCATGTGGTTTCTGGCTCATCTCCATCTCTCAAAGCTTTTAGACATGCACACAGCTGAAGGAGGTCTCACAGGTGGGCGGAGCTTTGGAAAACTCCCTCTAGTGAGGCTGGGCAGGGGTGGCAGGGTGGGGGTGGGGACGGCCTTTAGAAAGCAGCTGAGGAATGGAGGGATCGGGATTTCCAGAGACTTCAGAGATGATGCCTGGCCTGATAGGAACCGTAATTCAATGCTGCGGTTGGGGCTAATTTGCCGAATGAGGTAGTTCCATCCTGACCTCTCTGGGCAGGGTTGGTCAGGGAAGACAGAAAACAGGCCTTCCCGAGACCCACGGTGATGAAAAGTGGCCAAGAAAAGCCAGATTTGGGCTCCCAGAATGCAATGAGAAAAACAGTGAGGGCCGTAAAGGATTCTAGGTGCAGGCTGAGCTGACGGTGCCTTCTATCCATGATTCTGACCCTGACATTAGCTTGGAGGCAGAGACAGCCCTTCTCTGATCTTCCAAAGCCCCGGAGATAAAGGGACCAGCTGGAGGATGGGCTTTGGGGCATCCAAGGGCACAAGTGTGTGACGGCCACCCCTATGGAACTCAGCAGGGGCCACAAAGTTCCAGCCTCAGTTTGTTCTCAGAGCAACAAGCACGGCAGGGGTTTTGGGGGGGGGGGCTTCAGTCTTGGAGGCAAGGGCGGGGTTTCAGGTCTGTCTTCTTGGCCTGGGAATATTTGGGATTCCCCAGCTGAGCCATCCAGATCACCCTTCTGGAATTGCCAGCTCTCTCCTCTCTCCTCAGTGGACAGGAGAGTGGGTGGGAGGGCAGCTTCACCCAGCGGTAGCCACCACCCCCTCTCCACGGGACCCCCAGCCCCTCTCCTGGGCAGGACCCCCGGGGGCCGCACAGGCGTGTCTAGATCTCCATGTCCACGGGGCGAATGTTGCCAGTTTTGTGCTCTCTGACCCACAGCTCTCTGTCTTTGGCCGGGTCCACTTTTCGAAGCAGTTGGTCCACAGGCTACACTGTGCTTTGGTTGAACATGTCTGTCTCATGCCGCAGCTGTGTGTGCTGACACAGATGTTGCCGGATCATCTCCACCCTCTCCACCTCCAGCCGCTCCAACTCCAAAGTGGTGGTCACCATCTCTTCAAACCACTTGGACTGCGCCTGATTGTAGAGGTCCACACAGCGCATGAGGTCATCACCAGCCTGTGTGGACTTTCTCCGTGCCTTCTTGATGTCCTCCTCTGTCTTGCTGCTCAGCTTGATCTCCAGCTGCTGGGTCT